ATTTCTGAATAATTTAATGAATCATGCATTGTATAATAGCCAGCCAGTACTTCAAATGATGGCGTTCATATAAATAAGCAAATGCATCTAGATCGTCAGGAAAAAACTCAATGAATTCGAATAGTTTAGAAGGAGCCAAGCCTATATGTTTTATTGCATATTTTTGATTCACTTGTCTACCATTGCATACCAAAGTAACAGCGTTGTATCAACATAATAATAATACTACTTACCGTTGGAAAGACCTATCTTCATTATGCTTGTACCACACTTCGCAATTTATGCAAGAACTATCATGTCCTGAAACCGTCACCATAATTATCTTCAAGGTTACGCATTTCAAAATAAATTTCTTCATATGACCTCTTCACTCTGTACAAGGCCCAGATAAGACCTAGCTTCGAGTACTGCTGACACGTTGGTGGTGCTGATGCCCTGACTACATTATTGATGGCGGTTGCTGTTCAGAGGATGGCTGTCCGACTGATCGATGACTCTTCTCTAATGAACAGTCTCGGCGTGCAGTCGGCGATCTACCTCTCTTCTACCGCTACACTAACGGGCTTTGCTCTTCAGAACTCTCCTCCATGATTCCGCCGCGTGATGTGCCTGCCAGACAGACCCGTCTGACTTCAACCTCCCATCCTAACCGTGTCGAATTTCGTGCATCCTTTGTCCCTGGGGTATCGAGATTATGAAAAAATGTGTTGTTTTCTTGTTTTGTAAAACAAACTACGGTTTCTATTACAGAACTGTGCAGGGTACCAGGTCTGGCATACTGCAACGGCCATCTTTGCACCATGCATACCCCTGATAGCATTAAATATTTATTAAATATTTTAAAAAAATGTTTGTTAAATATTTGTAGCGACATATTCTTTAATATTTATTAAATATATTTCTTATATATTTATAAAATATTCATTATAGATGTTTGTAGTATATATAATTCATATATTCTTGCGATATTTTTTCCAAATATTTAGAAAATATATGAGGAAAGATTTTTAAATATCAATTTTATATTTTGATAAAATATCTAATATTTTTCGTAAATATACTAAGTGACATATAAATCCGAACACCCAGTTTAAATGGTTTTATTTTAATAAAATTTGGTGAATGTATTTATCTTACTGTAAATAACAAGTGAAAAAATGTTTAGCCTTATCAGTTAGACATTCCGGTTTTTATACTGCTTTTTTTAATTCACTAACGCTCTAAAAATGAATATTTCAGCCGCAGTAAAGAATCAACGTTGGCGGATTTTGGTTCTTGACATCCTTTACGATCGGTTACGATGCCTAGAGTACCGAGACCTGTACGATTTCGTCAACTTAGTGAGTTTAATAGGGGCCGTATAGTGGGACTTCGGGAAGCTGGATTTTCTTTTCGGGCAATTGCAGTTAGAGTGCAAAGAAGTGTAGACACTGTGGTTAGGGGTTGTCAGGCATGGCTTCGAGAAGGCCGTACGCAAAGAGCAAGGGGCACTGGACGCCGCCGTAGAACAACAGACCGTGAAGATCGCCGCCTAAGATTATTGGCCTTAAGGGACCGTTTCTCCACTACCAGGTCCATTGCAAATGAATGGTTTGCAGAACACGGAAGACCTTTTGGCATGCGAAGTGTTTACCGACGAATGAGAAGTTTTGGCTTGTTTTCATACCGGCCACACTAGGTCCTCCCTTTAACTCGAGAACACCCACGTAATCGCCTTGAGTGGTGCAGACAATGGTCACTCTGGGATCAGGAATGGAACAGTATTGTCTTTAGTGACGAGTCTCGATTTTGTTTAGGCATGCACGATGGTCGTGCCAGGGTTAGAAGGCGACGTGGTGAAAGGAGGAATCCACAGTCTTTTGTTGAAAGACATGTTCATCACACTGTTGGAGTTATGGTTTGGGGTGCTATAGCTTATGGTTCCAGGTCACCTTTAATCTTCATCAGAGGTAACATGAACGCGCAGCGTTATATCCACGAACTTCTAGAACCCCATCTTTTACCCTATCTTGACACCCTGGCAGATCCAGCTTTCCAACAAGATAATGCCCGACCACATGTTGCAAGAGTCACAATAGACTTCTTTCAACATAATTATGTCACATTGTTACCATGGACATCAAGATCTCCCGACTTATCCCCAATTGAGCACATGTGGGATATGATGGGTAGGAGATTGCTCAATTTGCAACGTCCTCCTCAGACTCTAGAAGCACTTCGAGAGGAGTTGGTGGTTGCCTGGAATGAGATACCACAGGAGCATGCCTAGGCGCGTTAGAGAATGCGTAGCACATCAGGGTGCATCCACACATTATTAAAGGTCAAAGGGCTTTAAAGCAGTGCAATCATTTTGAAATTTTTATCATTTACTTATTATGCTTCATTAAGTACTTATACAAAATTTTATTAAATTAAAACCATTTAAACTGGGTGTTCGGATTTATATGTCACTTAGTATACATATGTATGGATTTTCAAGCATTAATCTGATACATATTTTCAGTGTAGATAGAAAATTCTTCATTGGTTCTTTTTAGCAAAACCTGTAGGAATGCTTATATAAAGTTGGGTTTATAAAGAAAATTCATTCTAGATATAATAGTTTAATTTGCTAGACAAATATTATCAAAAAAACATACTAAGCCTCTTCTGCATCTTGCAAGTCCACTCCTCTGAAAAAAAAAACAAACTCACTAATTATGAAGTATTATTGAGTACATAAGCTGCCTTCCAGTGTATATATTGGTGCTGAGCATGGTGAATTAGTCCGAGTAGCTCAACTGGGTCACTGAAAAGCAGCTCTATAATGCACCTAAAAGGACCCCACATGTTATGCCTATGATAGTTCGAGATTTGGTTAATTTTTAAGAAAATTGATTATGTGATTTTAGATATCTTGATGAAAAATGTCCATGGGCACAACTTGAGCCTTTGACTAACACTTATTGATTTTGTTGAAATGTGACTTTTTTTAGTAGTACAACTTCAAGGCTAGTTATTTATGGTTTTGAATACCTTCATACCCAGCTGGCACAATAACGTTTACTAGTTGAATAAATTAAGCTATGTAATTATCGAAAAACTTACCTTTTAACTTTTCCACAAAAAAAAAACACTCAAATACTGAACCACTTGAAGATACACAGGAAGCACGCTATCATAGTGAAAGTCACAGGTAAAATGGCTGCCGGCAAACGGGTCGTCTCAAGCCGACTTGCTATTATCCTATTAGTCGTTCGAGGTCACACGCACATGCGCCATAGCCGAAAATATTTAATGAATATTTTTTAAATATTGGAGCTTTAATATTTTCCATTGATTGAAAAGTAAATATTTAATGAATATTATAAAAGAAATATTGTATTTAAAATATTTAAAAGGTATTGAATAAATATTTAATAAAAATATTATATTACAAATATTTATTAGATATTTGTTTAAGAAAACAAATATTTAAGTAAGATAAAAATAGTATTAAATATTGAGAGAATATTTAATGAATATTTCATGCTATCGGAGATGCTATGCATAGCGATCTACTTAGATAGCCACAGAGCACAAGTAGTTAGCCACGGTGTAAAGATGCAAAGTTCTCAAAAACGGTTCAACCTAGCGATGTCAAGCATAAGTATCTTTTGCAGCCTACAGAGCATGCTCCTCAAAATTTAATGTAATGTATTTTATTGTTAGGCTAACCTTGAGGCTTATAACTTTATGATTATAAGCATACGGTTCGAAGGTGAAGGTTGACATCTATTACATCCATATGTGTCAACTTGGCGATGGGCGTCAACTGGTCGACAAATAAGATAGAAATTGTGGATGTTGCTGTTTTTTCTAAATTTTAGGTAGTGCTTCTAGGGCAAAATCAAAAACAATTTTGTACCTCGGTTACTTGCAGAGACATATATTTGATATCCTTTTGATAAATTCCAATTTGATTTACATCTTATGTTCACGTAAATAATAATCCAGCTGAATGACTGAGCAAAGCTGTATTATTATTGACAATCTGAATCGTTGTAGGTCGAATTCCAGATTTTCCACATCACGTCGTATTGTTATAAAAGCTTAAAACAAAAAAAAATCGGCTGATAAATTTTATAAAATATACCTACCATTAACAACTTCTCGATATCTTGGTGCAGGCTTTAAACATATAATTCCAGTCATGCTTGCTCTGTTAAAGCTGCTACACACAGTGCCGGCGGCAATGCCGCCGGGTTTATGCCGAGCGGCTATGCCGCCGGCAATACAAGCCGCGCAAAGCCGTCAAGCATCATTCCGGTTGTGACAGTCACATAGAAAGCTAGTGAAGTGCTGCATTTCTGGGATTCCATAATATATCATTTTCATGAAATTTTTCAATTACGTGCAGCACAGCTTCGTCGTCCCAATTAAACGACATTTTAATTTGTTTGAGCACACAAACCGCACAACACTACCGCTCGAATGCCAGGAACGAAGTGACGCCGGCAAGCCGCGTAACCCGCCTGCACACCACGGCGGCTCCTTTGCGCGGCAAGGCCGGCGGCCCTGCCGCCGGCATTGTGTGTAGCAGCCTTTAGGGTCTCAAAGTCGATTGTTATCACCATAAGTCTTAGATTTTGCACCAGGCGCACCAAGTATCGTGACAAACTGACGAATCATTCAAACTGTTTTACACCAATTTAATGAAAAAAAATAGCGCAATAAGAAGAATGATATTGCACATGAACAACAGACTAAACTATGGACTAGTTTATGATAACCGTTAACATTTTTACAAGACACCTATACCAGTTAGTTCTATAAGAATGTATCGATGGATACGTTTCTTCCATGTCGTCAAAAGTATCATATGTTTTACAGAATGTTTATAGTGTTTTGAAGACAAACTGTAATAAGACTGAAGTTACAGAACACACAGATGTAGCTTACTATTGTTTTACCGAGCTTATGCATATATATGTCATACATGTCTAGAAAAAGTATCTACAGCGACCTATGTTTTCTTCTAGGCGGTGCAGGGAGCAGTGGAGAAGCGGACTCTGAGAGTGCAGCTTCAAAACGACGAAGGAGTAGGACAAATTTCAACAGTTGGCAACTTGAAGAGCTAGAAAGGGCCTTTATAGCTAGTCATTACCCCGATGTATTTATGAGAGAAGCATTAGCGATGAGACTGGACTTGAAAGAAAGCAGGGTAGCGGTAAGTTCACTATATTTCCACATATATGAAACGTATTGGCCTAGATCAGCCTTTGCACAGTATTGGTTCATAGTTACTGACTTATCTTACTTCATGTGTAATGATTGGTCCTGCTTGATAGAGGGACTCAGGTAGCTGGAAGTTAACATAATTCGGAGCCATTGATGCTGTGTGTTGTCTCTACCACGCTCCAGGTCTGTGCAAGATCAAGATAGGTACATCGCATCACTTGAAGTGGCTTATAAACAGTTACCAGTATATGATCTGTGAAGTGGTATATTGTTAGTGCTATAGGGTCAGCTTGAAGGTTCAAAGGCGGCCTCCACACTACTGCTACTACTACTGGCCTGCTACACAATGCATCGACCACTCCCTTGAGTTTCATGCCACAATCTTCCAAACTAATACTCTGATTTCAACTAAAACTCCCTCCACATTATGCAGCTGTCTCAGTTTTGGTCTTCCACGGAGTCTTTTCTGTACGAGTGTATCGTCATGAAACCTTATCACTGGGGAGTTATTGTATCTGCGAGCTGCATGTCGAGCTCATGCCAGCTGCTGTGATCTTATTCAAAAAGCTCTCTGACCTACCTTGATGTCCTTCTCTATTCTCCAGTTCCTACATATCGTACAGGACAGCACATCTTTCAACACTCTATCTATAGCAACCCTCAATGACTTTACTCACTTCATTAAAACCGGAATTCTTCTGCGTAGCGTTGTTGTTATGGTCTCTTTTCCTGCTGACCTCCATTACTTTTGTTTTATTGGTGTCGAATTTCAAATTAACTCGTTCTCCTGTCTGTGCAATAGATAGTGAACCCTCTAAGTATTAGGTTTGGTGAAAACTTTCCTTCGAATAAATACGAGGCTAATATACAATCCAGCAAAACTAATAAAAATTGGATCAAGGATTAAATTGAAAAATGGCATCAAGTAGGTTGACTCTGAACTTCCGCTGCCATCAGTTCATAAAGTATGAACTAGCTCCAAAAAAATTACCAAAAAAGTAAGCCTATACAATTTGTTCAAAATTCATAGTCCCCACATATTTGACAATGCCAACGCTTGTTTCTTCCCTATCCTACGTATCGACCATCTGGCCACGATCCTTATCAATATGAGTCAACCATGCCAGAAGGGCCAGCAACGATACTTCAACTCACAGGGTTTAGCGCAATAAAGGTTGCTATCATACCAACCGACCGCATGTCGCGCCTCTAAATAGTTATCCAAAGTACATAAAATTCCCGGGGCTGGACGCATATAAATATAGTGCCGCCAAAAAGAACGATATGTACCGCCCCTATAACCTCCAACCATCGATGCTTAATTCCTATAAAGATGTTTCTGAAAATCATCAAGAGCCTCTGAAATACCAAAGTTTGACCGATTTTTAACTTTTTTTTGCCCTTCACGCCCCTGCCACTGAAACTACAAAGCTTGTTCGTTCTTGGTATAGTAGTGTGGAAATTTCATCAAAAGGTACTGTCCAAGTTATAGACGAGCCTAATAATAATAATAATAATAATGATAATAATAATAATAATAATGATAATAATAATAATAATAATAATAATAATAATAATAATAATAATAATAATAGCTGTATTGTCCAACAGTTTCCCATTTATAGGACAATTTATAAACATAATACAAAAGCAAAGAAAAGCGAAAAGAAAACAACAAATGCAACACAGGTATAAATTTGTAAAATGAGCTGTTGGTCCGAATAAGCCTTAGCTGCCTTTAGCAGGTAATTAACATTTGTCGTAAATATATCACAGTAACATCCAATTCTGTATAAGTAAGCGCACATTACATATAACGGTGACTTGAGAAGAATGTTTGTCCTAGCTCTAGGAAGCCCGAATATTTTATGATTGCGAGATGCAAACGTTGGAGTACAAAACTTGATCAAGGGGCAATCAATTAAATTGTTGATCATTTTGTAGCCAAATATTATTGAGGCACAGTACCTACGTTTTTTCAAAGTCAACATGCTTAGACATAGTTCCTCATTACCTGTACCTCTCTCTGGATATGTCCCATCAATCCTAAACAGAACAAACTTCATAAACTTCCGTTGTACTCTTTCAATAGCTGTGCTATAGCATTCATAGTAAGGGCTCCAAATAATACTACAATATTCGACTTTGGATCTAACATAAGCATAATATCATCTAGCATCTTTCTAGCACAGACCCATCAATAGAGTACGGATATTCGCAAACATTAATTTTCCTGGTATAGCTGACTATTTTACACTTCCTCACATTAAGCTCCAACTTGTTTTCTACACACCAAGACAGCACAAAATTTAATTAGTGTTGTAGCTTGATACAATCATCAGGAGTATTTATCTGAGAATAAATTTTTAGGTCGTCAGCAAAGCATAGGCGCTCACATTCAACTGAGTCACAGAGGTCATTAATAAATATCAAAAACAGTAAGGGTCCCAGGTTGGACCCCTGAGGAACTCCAGAAGGTGCCAAGTAGGTCTCAGATTGGAAGCCATTATAGCTAACAAATTGTCTACGATCAGATAAGTAAGATTTCATCAACTCCCTAGCATCATCTGTGAAACCAAGTGCACCTAACTTATTTTATAAATAGATTTGTTGTTGTTGAGCGATTAGCGACAAATCCGTGTTGATGCAATGACAGCTAACGCTGGACGGCAGTGTAAATGCGACTGTACAAGACTATTTCAAAGACTTTCGACAACATGCATAATATAGAGATTGCCCTGTAATTCTCAATGTTTAACTTATCCCCACACTTAAACACTGGACAGACCTTAACGGTCTTCCAAATATCTGGAAATCTTTTTGTTATAAGACAAATATTAAAAATCCTAGTTAGAACACCAACAAACACTTCCACGCAATCTTTGACTATAAAGGACGGGATGCCATCTATACCAGATGTAATATTATCTTTTAGTGATTTAATGGCCTTCCTGACTTCATTTTCCTCAATTGGATGAAAATGGACAAATAAATTACTATGATTTAGTGAGGCATTATATGGGGCTTGTGAGTGACATAGACGCTGCTGAAAAACTCACTGAATGCGTTTACTATATCCTGAGGCTGATCTATAGAATTATTTTGAAATTTCATTATCCCTGGGATTCGTGATGTGTTGTTTTTGGAGTGAACGTATGACCAAAAAGCATTGGGGTTAATTGTTAAAGAATTTTGGATATTTTCAATATATTGATCATACGCTGATTTATTCTGGTTTTTTATCAAGCGGCGCAAATGTTTGAATTCTTGTAGATCATCAACAAAAGCAGACCTGTTGATTTTTTTCCTAAATTTAGCTTTAAGTTTAATGTTCTTAATAATATCTGAGTCAAACCAAGGCGGGTATCGGTAACTGTAATTCTTATACAGAGGTATGTGCCTGTCAAAAATTTGGGAAATGTTGCCATAAAATACATCAACAATATAATTAACATCAGAAGAGCAGAATATGATGGACTCGTAGTATGTCATATAACATCCAAAAAACATACCATCCTATTTTCGAAATTGTTTCTGATTACAATACCTCCTCGGCAATGGGGAAGTAAAAGTGATCTCTCTGTAGCCCCCTGTTTTCCCACGCGCTCAGTAGTAGTAGTAGTAGTGACCCTTTTTGTCGACCCCGTAATAGCAACACTGTACATTCCTCTACATCTACTGGTAACTGATATAATAAACCAGCTCCATCGATTAAAGTACTATTTGCTAAATCTGAAAATTAAGGTTAAATACTGAGGGTTCCGAATAGACAAATATATTAGAGGACTGCAAAATTCAACCTTTATTTTCTCCCTTTCACTGGTTGTATTATTTTATTTTCAAATAGGTGAAATCAAAATAGGGCTTTGTCTCTTCTCTAGCACGTCGAGATTTATTTTTATTGAACTTTTTGGTTTTTTTGGTTGTAGCTTGACGTGTCTATCGATCAGGTGTTTATTATGAATATACACTCATGTCACAACGGATATCTGTATAATCCAATATAGATGCTAATTTCTTAACCAAATAAGGCAATAAAAGTATAATATTTGATTCACGCGCCAATAAACGTCTTTTCGTAGGCGGCGGTATAATACGACATTCAATTTGTTTCCAATAATAGTTTTCGTGAAACTTTATGTGAACTGTTAAAGTCAACATTACGGTAAATAAGTTTGATTCGATCGCTGAAGTTGCCTTGTTAACTTTCTTTTTATATCTACGTGTTATGATTTATAGTCGATCGTCGGAGGAACAGAAACAGTTTTCTAATTAATCATGGCAATAGAATATTTGGGTCGTTATTAGAAGCAATTTAAACCCGTTTTAAATGAAATTTACGAGAAGTGAAATCTGTTGATATGTAGACAGAATGGTGAAAGGTATTTCCATAAGAAGCCCAAAAATATGCAATCCTCTAAGATGGAAACCCTTATTAGACAAGTAGCCGTCAGGTTATGTGTGGAATGTACGAAGACACCTACTTGATTTTGCGAAACCAGAACATGGGTACTAGGATAACGAAGGGCACAAAAGAAGAACAGAAAATGGGTGGCTAGTCACCCTATAAATCTAGACGTTTTATGAATGATTGTTAAGACATGAATAAAGCAGTCTCTTAAAGGGTATGCCTAAAGAATCCAGGGATTTGCGGACAGGGACGGACAACGATTCATAAGAGATCAGAAACATACATTCATAGAGACCTTGTGTTGTTTAAATATTGTCACGACTGTGACGTGGGGGAGTAAGTTCACTCTGGCTTGAGTGACTTGCTAGTGTGGAGGCTCAAATGATGCAAAAAATAAAATATCAATCAACAAGCGCCACGGAAATCAAGGTACTATAAAATAAAACAGGAACTTACTTTTTGGCGCAGGGAGGGCCAGTCCCACAAAGACAGATTCGCCCCGAGTGATCATCGGATAGAAATCATCACAAGTATCGGCCCATCCAGTTTTTATGATCCAATGGAACCACCACCGGAGG